TTCGGGTTAGGGGTTATTCGGCGTCCTGATTACGAATATTCTATTAGTTTTTAGCGTAAACGTCATTTGAATTCGCTATGACGCCATTGGGCGCTACAACGGCGCCGTTTTGGTGTCGCAACTTTCTCCACCAGTTTTTTTAGTCAAAATCTACGTATGAAGGTTGCTGTTGCTCCTAATTATAGATATGACATCTGCTATTCACGCTGACACCCTTTTTCGCGAATTTTGGAACGCCAACACAAAATGCAAAAAATTGTCACTGCGAGGATCGAACTACGGACCACTTCATCACCCCTTTTCTGGTATTCAGAGGGCCGTTCAGGAAAAATGAACATGGTTCTGTGGTTCCCGCATGTGCCCCTATATCATGCAAAAAACCGTTTTGAAAAGCTGGCATTTCCTGAAAGACCTTCCTCGTAAGGTGTGAGTTGCGGGTCGGACGAGCTCCTTGCGCCTTTGTCGCGCACTTTCAAGCCGCAAAAGGGGCGCGACATCAACGCTTGTCCGCCTGTCTACTACCCCCGGATGGAACAGGCTAGCGCGCCTAATCCCGGAGCGTGCCTTTAATAAATTTTCATGGTAGCCGGACAAGATTTACGATAGTGCCGCAACAATCATCGAAAACAAGGGAGGAATGCGCTGCAAATTGTGTGGCAGATTCAAAAAAGTGGTTACTGTATTCACACAACCACGTGGCGGAAAAAATGTTTTTCGGGCATTATTTGTTCTCCTCAAAAAAGTCTTGGGTGTTAGCCTTAGCTTTATCTCTTACATATTTGAAATCTCCAAGTGTCTGGGTTCAAAATCGTAAAAGATATAACATCTGAGTGTTCAAAGCAAACTATTCAACTGAGAAAAAAAGGTCCACAGAAAACTGTTTTGGCGATCACCTCTGAGCGCTATTGGATGCACAGGCTTTTGTACGCAGTATACGGCAGCTTCTGTCAAGCAGAAAAATGTAAAAAAACGGAGGCTTAACTTGTTGTCTCACTTGAAATCCAGCTTTTCATCAAATACTGCTTAATGGGGATTTTGGTTCTTATTTTTGGAAACCTATTTCCGCCTATTTAGGTTGATGCATCACTAATATTGCGGCTTTTTTCGCGCGTTCTTTTCTCGAGAAGATTGGCGTTTGAGTTTCTGTTTTTTTTTTCATGAGAATATTCTTCTTTCTTCCATTAACAGAAATGCTTATCGGAAATTGTCCTCATCTTCACCACACATGCTTACTACTTCTATAAATGTTAGAAGGCGGCGGGGCCATTCCGCGATCTCATCAAACTTCTCAGCGAGGGAGCAATTAGCAAAACCCAAGACGAAGGATCGTTCAAGAAGTTTAAAACGCCACATCTACCGAGCGGAGCTCCTACAGACTAGCAATTCAATCAGACGTTGAAAAACTGGCAAACGAACAAATTTTAGGATGAGCTGGATGCGTTGGTGGCCAGTGTTAGAGCGTGGATCGTCTCCGAGAATCGTGACTTTTTTATCCGTGGAATCACCGAGAGAAAAGCAAATGGGAAGCATTCTTGTGGGATGGTGACCACGCTCCGGGGTTATTATTTAAACATGTTTTTGTTGAATAATTTTGTCGTTTTCGCTGAATAAAATCTGTTGGAAAAAGCCGCAATAATTATGCATCAACCCAATGCACTAAGCACTCCTTGAGTGCTCCAGTGTATCCGTGAAAAGCTGGGCTAGGAAGACTATTCTATTTCTATTAACTGTCCTTTAATCTAAGAAAGAGAACCCTGGAGCATATCTAGTTTTGCTAGTTCTGCAAGTGTAATTAACAAATATCTTCGGAGATGCAATGCCAATTACATTTTGGAACGGCGATATTCGCTTCAGATGAAAATCGCAATTTTACTTGGTAAACAAACATTTTCTATGGATACTGACGTGAGAAGCTCAGAGTGACAAGTGATTGGTTATTCGAAGCTAGAGATTGTGCTTTGAACATTTTGAGCTCTTTAAAATTGGCATCTATGAAAATCATTACCATCAGATCATGACAATGACTAGTGGGAAGTCAGACCTCAACAGGGAGGAAGAGGGAGAGGAGAGGGTGAGGGGGTAAGCATTGGCACATCTACCACAATCCCGACCTGTGGGTCAATGTCTTGGAAAACTTCATATCCTTCCATCCCTTCAGTGTCGGTTAACTGACGGTTTCGGCTATATTGGAACTAAACCGATAATCACAACTGCTGGCTTCTTCAAGCTATCAGTGAAAAACGCAACTAAATCGGTGCTGCGATTTTGGGCGAAATTCGTGCGCATGGCGCATACCAAAAAGTATTGTTCAATGCCGAATGCTCACGCTTGTAAGAATCTACGAATTGAAACCAGAAAAACCTTCGAATCAATTGGAAGCAGCTTATCTGGCATCACATATCTTCAATCGATGCTAAGTTCTTGCCGCATTTAGAGTTATTCGCATAAGAACAGCTTGAAAGTCTCCACGAATTTAAATTTACTGTAAATCTAACCAGTTTGGGAATTCATTACAATTATTCGTTCATAAAAAAATATTTTTAAAAAAGTAATAAATAAATAAAACTCACTTCCGAAGTATGGCGAAAAAGCTATAGGCAAATATGAAAATAGTGACAAGGAAATATGCCAACGGCAACGGATATTTCTGTCCTAGAAATTCATCGTCCGAGTAATATCCATAGAACAGTGGTGAGTACCGTAAATATCCCTGGAAAAAACGTCATTCTTAGTGGGACCTATATGTTAGTATCACTTCCTTTATTTATTTATTTATTTATTTATTTATTTATTTATTCATTTATTTTATTTATTTATTATAGTGTATTAATTACTGCATTTTTAGCATTGTATATTCTGTATTTTTTTGATTGCTACTGAGTGCAAGTCGTATAGCATTGAACTGCACAACTCACTGCACTATGGCACTCAACTGCTGGCACCACAGCATTGCGTCTATACATACAGTAGCAAAATTTTTACGTCTTGTTTTAGTTGATGGTCGTGAAAGGATATAGCCGAAAAGTATGAACGGTAACTTAGACTACATTGTGAACAGTGGTGATGAGCCAGTTTTTTATTTTTTATTTTATTTATTATTTTTTTATTTATTTTATTTTATTTTTATTTTTTTTATTTTTTTAATTTGAGGTAATCTCAAGAAATTTCTAGCACCTTCTACACTTTGGGAATTCAATTACAAAATGCCGCTGATAAATTCTAAAAATTAACATCGACTTTTAGGGCCTACAGCTATTTCAAAAGAAGCATTCTCTAGCCTAGTCTATGCGCCTTTAAGCTCATTTAACTAAACTGTGTGACGCATAAAATCCGGTGAATGTGACATAAAAATGCACTGCGGAAGGAAAAAAATTACCGTAACCACCAAAGATTTCGATTTATAGAGCACTACCTTGAAGCCTGCACCCTTGGACTCGACCCTTGTCCCTACCCTTAATCTGTAGTGCTGTACATCGTCAACCAGAAGGGCTCAAGATGTACATGTAGGGAAGGCCACCTACCTCTGTCTGTCCTATAACCCCGAGCTGGATCCTTCCAGGTCTAACAAGCTTGGCATCCGCTTGGCAGCTTGGCATCGGGGTCAATGAGTTGGCCAAGCACATACATATTGTACGACAAAAACGCTGGTTTCAGATCAGCTGGCCCCTCGCAAGTTATTTTATGGACCAAGTCGCATTCCCATGCCAACTACGAATATGAATGTTTGTGGAATGCGTGGAGTATCCAAAAGTAGTTGATGAACATCGAGAGCTTCGTTATTTCTGCTTTTTTACTACGTCTAAAAAAATGTAGCAATGAACCTGCAAGCCAGGAGCGATTCATATTAGTCTCACCATCCCTTTACTATGCAGCTTCCCAAGAGGACTCATTTCGAGTATGAAGCTCCAGCTCACCAGTTACAATAAAAATACTTTGCATTTTTTTCGAAAGCAATTATCGGAGCCCAAGGCCCGATGCACTTAGGTTCGGCAACTAAAAGGCAAACTAAAAACTACCTGAATAAACTAAAAACCTAAAACTAAAATATGAAAGTTTGTGAAATGCGTGGCGTATCCAAAAGTAGTTGATGAACATCGAAGCCTTGTTGTTTCTGCTTTTTTTGTCACTCACGTATAAAAAAATTGTGGCAATGAACTTGCAAACTAGAAATGATTCATATGAATCTCAATCCCTTCACTATGCAGCTTATCAGGAAGTCTCACTTTGAGTGTGAAGCACCAGCTCGTCAGCTACAGTGAAAACACTGCAGTTTTTCGAAAGCAATTATCGGAGCCCAAGTCCCGATGCACTTAGGTGCGACTAACTGAAAGGCAAACTAATGGTAATGCTTCAGTTAATGGTATTATAAACAAAGTGCTTTGCACTCATAAATTCCAAAACGTCTATCTGAGCTCGGATCGCCGCCAGACGCCTACCATTTTCTCGCGGACCAATTATTGATTTTTGAATTATGTGTTGGAGAAGTAATTTTTCATGAAGTGAACGGAAACGTGGCCGCATTGAAAGACAGATTGGCGAGTTTTCCACGTACATCGTAGTGCCAAACGACGGCGATTTCGTCGGCATGTACACGCTCGTTTGCCGGGATCTCCTTGCGTGTCAGGGTTCGGTTACGTCTGGCCTCGTCCGCTGCCGCGTCAGCCAATGTCTAAGTGATGGGATCAATCAGTCAGCGTTAAACGAAATGAATTCCACAGGGCACATGAACTACAGCAACGGAAGTTCTGCTGTTAAAATCACCTCTAACTCACCTCAGGCAGCACAACAAGTGCGAAAATGATTAATGTGATGATCACGTTCACGAACACGATCCATCGTAAAAATGTGAAGTAGGACGAGACCACCGAACCAAAATGACCTAAAATTCTCACATTCAAAGTATTTTGGCGTTCGTTCTGACCAATCCAATGTTATTCCTTAGTGAATTTTTTCGCTGTGAAGGTTTTCATTGAGAGAAATCCTCTAGGGAGCTATAAAAAACCGACATGACACGGGTCGACGACGTCTCATGCCAACCCTCTGCTTAGCTGTCTAGCCCGAACAGAGAAGAGAGACATGACAAATTTTGAAAAAAAACCCACTTTCAATTCGTTTAATTTTGCCTTCCCATGGTATCAAGTAGGTTTTAATGTTCGAGAAACTTCGTTTCAACAAGCGCATACGCTTTCGAAACTCTTCCATGTATAAATGCGTTCTGGATACACGCGATTCATGCTGCTCCAAGTATTTCTGAGCGAGCCTGAAATCAGTCAGCTGTTGATTAGCATGCGGGATCAAATTAATAAAGTATAAACCCACTTTAAAGTCCGCTTTTTGCGGGACATGCTCCATGGTTGACATCGCAATTTTCCGATGACCTCTTTCTTTTGCCGTATTCGCTCCAGGAGCACCTTAACTTCACAGTTATCAGCTGGCAGCTTGAGACAGGCGGTTAGAGCTTTTTTTCACAAGAAAAAAAATGATTGATCAAGTAGGTTCTATGCACGCGTTCACTGTGGCGCCAATTGTGGCAAGTTTGTCGAAAAACCAGTAGGTAATGCTCAAAAACAGCGGGCTCAACAGAACTGTGAACAAGTTGATGTGACATAGTGGACGAGTTTTCCGGCATCATACAAAAAGTTTTACTAATAATTTCGAATGTTTAGCGCTACGTAGAGACGATACTAGTCTTCTTTGATCCGGTTCGCCTGAAACCACACCTTAATCTTTTGGCATGAACCACACGGAAGATCGACCTCACAGGATGCATCCTATTTTTGGATCCACCTCAGGGCCAAGAAAACCTTTCTAGAGCAAAATGGTACAGTCTTTTGGGTGTACTAAGACACTGCCATCGAAATACTGAACAGAAGTACTGAAATCGATCCTGTCTGGTGTAAAAGTTTTTACCTAGCTGTCAATTTGTTAGTTCTCAATTTCGCACAAATCACGTATTCGGCAAAGTTGGAGCTCACCTGTCTGGTGAGGGGTTTTCCGTCCTCATCAGTCTCGTCCCTATGGTCCGACTTGCCGAGAAACGCGTCGGTTTCGCTGCAAAAACAGGCATCAATTTTTTCTTCCATACATTTTTAGTTTTCTTCGTAAATCTCCCTTGCTTGACATTCTGTCAGCATTTTGAATGCCATCTTTCAAATGCACATAATCCTTAAGAACTGAAGTGATGGGTGTTTTCAAAGGGTCTGTATGAGGTTCATGGTCGATATCGGAGATGCCTGATGGACATCGGTCAGTGATTGTGGCCAACACACAAAACACTATCAAGAAAACACGGCGCCCAGTTGGTTGTAATTGGCTCAACTGCTGTTGCTGTTGCTGACGCCAATGCCACTGTCGGCGCCAGCCTGAAAGCGAAGTCGGCGGCCAGCCGAGTCAAGCCGAGCCGGCCGACAAACCACTGCCGGACGGCTGGCCACATCGGCGCTTGGAAGACGCGCTGTAAAACGTAACGTAGACTCATTAACATGACACGTGTTATGCGGGCTTGATTCGAATTCATATCAATTTGCCTCCCATTTCAACCAAAATTATTCTCAAATTCGTACAGGTGATACAGACTAAAAGCTCTGTTCGAGTGGTCGGGGATATGATTGACTTCAAAAAATCAATAAAAAACTTCCCAGTGGAATTACGCGTCTTACGGGTTACTCCTTACGTCTTAAGGGTTTCATACTATTTATGTGGGGAGCTGCTGAATAGCACTGAGAAAAGATTATGCTCCGAATCCGTGGGTGGAGAATGAACTCTAGAGAGTTGAATTCATATCATTGCGGAAGCAAACCACCTCAGAAATATTTATCATTCAGAGTGCTTACTAGTAGGCTGTATAGCAAATGAAAAAAGCGGAGATGTAAAATGCAAAGTAACGTGATTAGCGGGGTTTTAAAAAGGGTTAGCTGAATGAAAATAAAATTATTTAAGATGTTACTGGTAGAGCTAATTGCTCAGCTATTCCAGTGATTAGTAGCCGCAGGCATCGCCCAATGAAAACCTCATCAATTAGGAAACATTACACTGCACTAACTTTACAAGTGAACAGGCCACAAGAACAAGAAAATCGATAAATTCATCAACAAGTGCAAGTCACAAAGCTGAGTGCAATAGAAAATATATGCTTACTGAAAGTGAAATTTTCCAAAGTGATGAAAAATATCGTCTTTACTGTGACGATTGGGATCAGATGTTGAACTGGAGCGATTAATTCTTCCCAATGTATTTTTACGGAATACAGTAATCAGATCTTGAAAAACAGAAGCTCGCCGTTGTACCATCGGATGGGAGGCGAGCCCTTGCGGTAGATACTCCATTTCGTCTTGGACCGGCATTTTTGGCGCGCGTCACAACACGTAGAAGGGGTTGGGCGATGTGATGGCGTGTGAGGTGTGGCGATTGGCTAGTCGATGAGACGACGTGGACTACTGTGAGAAGTTCGAGTCGTATTACATAGTACGGTAATAATGTGATCGAATCATAGACAGCGTATGGTGGCCACTGGGATTCGCTAGTGATGTGACGACAAAGTCGACGACGTCACAACCCTGATGTGACCGCAAAGTGACACGGGCGGGCAAGAGTTGAGGTGAAGTGAGTGCGGCTAGAGGTGAATACAGGAACGGCCTCCGGAGCCACGCAAACAATGCTGGCAGTTTAACGCAATTGATAGCTGGTGATATGACGGGCCGGCCACGCCCCCGGCGCTCTTCCATCATACCACGGGGGGCACGTCGGATCGGCTGCTGCTGCCGCTCTTCTCCCTCTTTTCCTCTTCTCGTTCTACTCGTCAAGTGCCAGATCGGAATGCTCTCACTCAGAGGGCATGGTACTCTATTTGGACGTGGTGAAGGATGACCTCGGTGGCTAGGATATGTCAACACTGTTGACAATTTATCACAGTGGATGAAACACTGCTCTCAGCACTCTTCACTCTATGCCGAGTTAGATGGGAGACACAGACTTGGACCCACCTCACTTTTATCTGATTTCAGGAGGTACCAGGGGTCGAACTCAAAATCTCAGTGAATTTGCAACAACTGTGCAAGAAGTGGATAAACGTGCAGGGTTGATCGATAATCAGCATTTCTTTAGGACATCCTTTCTTACCTTCTCATCGATATCGGCTTGGACCGACGAGTTCATCAAAGTCGGCTTTCTTCATATCAAGCGCAAAAAACCGAACAAGCGCATCTGAGGTAACCAAGTTCGCCGTGATGCTCCCAGGACCTCCTCAGTAACTTGACTACTTCCAGTCGGAAAAGTGTTCACCAGTGTCGGCAATCACTCATAACTGTTGGTACGAGAGGCGAGATAACTTCACGGAGTTACACAATTCCTCGTTTTTACACATTTACAAGAGATCGACCAAGGACAACATCGCAGCCCAATGGGTTTCGTGAACGCTGCAGATCATTTTTTGGTAGAGTGACTGAATATCTTACTCTACCTTACTCGAAAATGCTGTGAAGTTCTTGCCAGAGGAAAGCCTAACACGAAAATGCCCATAAGTCACTTCGCATGAGTTTCATGGCCTGTCGTAGGAAAACAATTCATGGAGACGACATGTCAGTCACTAGACTGCGAACACGTCAATTTTCTCAGCGTAGTTGAGGGCAAGACAAATTCTGGGCAAAACCTTTCAATGTTGACGTTGTTTCCGGTGAAACAGCCGCTAGAACACAGCGATGTACTGAGGGCACAAACGTGGCCCAAAATCTTGAATGCTTTTGTCTCATTTTACATGGATTTAGACAAAACAGTGGAAGAGTTCTAATGAAAGTTTTGGAAAAGTTTATTTCTTCTATTTCTTCACCTGCTATTTGAAATTAAGAAGTCTAAAGATTATCTGGTCCTCCAGGGTAGGCCAGCATTCTCACCTTTTCGCACTTGGGCTCACATTTGAAGCTGTGCCATGAATTGTAACTATGACCTATCTAAGAACCAGCGGAGGGAGTGGAGGGGTGACTTACAAAGGATCGTGAGCTTATTTTTGGAATGGGTTCCACAACTTATTCGAGATATCACAAAAAAGACATTAATTTGTGTAAATCTGAAAAAAAAAGCCTGTAAAAGAATTTCTAGACGTGTTTACAGCGTTGTCGAGGGTTACTGTAATTGAACAAACAGAGCACTGATTTGACTTCTGGAAGCGCGTCCTGAGCTTTTCGCTACGCACCGCTTCAACTCTGCTAGACTTAAAAGTTTCAATTTGCTACTTTTTCGCAGGTCAAAAAATTGAAATCTTCAGTCGAGCTGTTGGCAAATGCTCAGCTATGCGCTACTACAGTGAAGTATACGGGGCAGCTACGCAGTTGAAATGCAATATTGAAACAGCCCTCATAATGCGGCAAATGGGAACAGGATGAACATAGAAACCTAGCTTTCAATGAATTATCTAGAGAAGGATGTAGATAGTGCTTATACTATGGAATATGATTGCTTCCTTCTTACGGACCGAAGATTGAAACATTACAGTGCTTCCCTGATTGGCCATGAAAGGCAATCAGCCAATGGCGAGGTGCCATTGCAGACACCATGCTCTCAACCCGATACTTGGAAACACTGCCCAATGTTAAAATATTCCGTTATAGCTGCAGTCGAGAACAGTGCAAAACTAGGAAGCATATAATTAGTGGAAAATACTATTGTGAAGACTGCCATCACATGTCAACCCTCAAAAGAGGTAGCGCTGTGGCAAAAAAGTGCTGCGACGTATTTTGTTTCGGAGTTCCGAGCTCAACCATACCAGATCCAACCCTCGGATTTGATTAGTCGATGCTAGACCTATTCGGAGGAAAAAGACAGACTTGAACCTTCGCCCCCTACCCTCTTCCTCACTCTGGATTCCTGTAACCAGAAATGCTGTTGAAGGCACCAATCGGAATCAGATGCCAAGAAGTAATTCTTCTTAGAGTAAGAGTGAGGGACCTCCGAACCCACAGGCGCGACACTGTCGCGATTCAAAAGGTGCGCAGCAAGGATGCTAAGGCCTTACTTTGTGCGCTCTCTCGCGTTTTCCCTCTTATAGCATACACTATGTCTTTCCATCATACC